ACCTGGCAACCCCACTGGTGGCTCCCCTCCCCTCCATAGGAGCACGAGTCATGGCGTTCTGTCTTTGGCTGGAGCGCCAGTGCCTGTTCGCACAGCTGAGGAGGCGGGTGTCTGAGCCCGAAGCCTCAGTGTCAGATCAAGACAAGCGGTTGGCCGGATCAAGGAAGGTTCCCCTCCCCTGCAATAGGTGGAGCCAAATGTTTTCAGCTAATTCACATGTCTGTTCCCTGCTATGCCTTTTCAGTTTGTAATTTCTACAATAGTAGGAATGGCAAAGAGTGAGTTTTAAGAGTTTTGTTTTTCTGTACATAAAAATAATCCATTATGAATTTAAAAGCATACATTTTAAAGTGTGTGGTTTAGAAGTTCTGATCCCATTCAGATCCTGTCAAGTGGCTGTACTTTGAAACTGTGTAGGTTTTCTCAGGAGGACAATGATTTTAACTCTCCCTTTCTTCTCCAGAAGCACTGAAGCTGGAAATGCGTGAAAATCCTCAGGAAAATTTGATATATTTTATTTTAGTCACGGGAACAGAACATAGAAGGAGCAGATAAGATATGCTGGAGGCGATGCTCTATCTGGGAGCAATGTTCCCTCTAATTTTTTTCCATCCATGTGCAGAATAAATTTATGTGCACAAATGCATGTGCAAATGTGCACACCAATAGAATCACTAGCTGGGGGCACTCTGCTAATCAGCTGGGCAGCATTTGAATTTTTCCTGAGTGGCCGCACAAGCACACAGCTTCCAGGAAACATTGTCTGGCAGTATATTCAATATATCTTTATGCTTTAAAAATGATTAGGACACTTTGACTAAAATATGCAGCTAAAGAGGATGACATAGTTCGTACGTAGGCTGTTCTTTCTTTTTCCAGAACACCATAACTCTGCTGTAGAACAGGCAAAGGCAAATAGATGATCAGCTCTGGAGGGGTTCAATTCTATGATAACCTGTTGGTTTATGGATGTCTTTACCACAACATAGGACTATAGTTTCTGTGCCTTCCTCATTTGTGTGTCCTAATGATGGGAATGACTGTATGGAACTTTTAGATTCTGTAGTGGCATATGGTGGATCCTTTTAAAAGTATAATCTCTAGTAAATTAAAATGGTCTCTGAGCTATTTATTTTACACTCAGGCAAAATGACAGAGCTCAGAATTTTTGGGGGCACTCTTTTAGATATAATTGTTTTTATTCTCACAAACAAGTCAAGATAGTAATTAGTAATATTTATGAACCATTTCCTCTAGGGCTCAAATATCTCATAGGCAGCACCAGTCAGACGTTAATCTCAGATAATTTTATTTTTATCACTTTCAGGGCTAAAAGAAGTTACAAACTCTGCTGGTTTCTCAGTGATGCTTGGAACTCACATGAGTTTCTCATGTATCTACTGCCAGCACATCTTTTAACCACAATGAATCATTGCTGTTTTTCTCTCTTTGAATCATTTGTGTATCAAAAGTCTATGAGCTGGTAGAATTTCATGACAGAAATAGCTGAGATGTATGGAATTTACATGATGCCATATCTTTGCAAGTTCTATGAAACTAATAGCTAAGGTTCATGCAAGTTAAAGAAGTATTGTAGTTAGAAATTAGACAGATTGCATTTTATGATGCTTTGGAACTTCAGAAAGGTGTTCTCTACTGAGACTTACAATCAGAATGCCTAAAATAGATTGCATCTTTTGGGTATCTCGTGCGTGTTATTGTTGGTTACATGCCCAAATGGGGCTCTGATGTTTAATAGGTACCTCATATAAGTTTCTCACAAGTTTCTCACAAAAGGAGCTAGTTGCTGCTGAAGTTAAGGAACTTGTGATCATCACATGTCCTCAGAGTGAGACTTCTCTCTGTCTTAAACAAAACTCTTCAAAGTTCTTTCAAAATCCTGCTTCTTGACCCCATTCTTGGACAGGAAGGCCAACTGGATGTTCCAAGAGACACTGAAGGGTAGAGAGAATAGCTCTGGATATCTCTAGAGACATCTGGACATCTCTCCTCCCCGCTATCCAGTCACCTAATGGTAAATTGGGATCCTATTTTTTTTGTCCTATAAAAAGTGAGGATGGCATAAAATTTACTTGGGG